CTGGCTAGGACTAGGGCAGGAACTTGATGACAAGCAACAACAACAACAATATGATGACAGAGTGTGAGACTGTAGGAGAAAGAGCAACACAGTGAAGTAATTTGCAGGATGGTTGGGGGATGGGTGTAAAAGACTGTACCACATGAGGACTGGTTCCTACTGAGATGTGCCAGCAGCTTCTAGAGCTAGGGAGAAGACACCATGGTGAATGGAAAGATTGCAGATGCAGGAGCAGAATCATACTGGGAGAAGAACTGAGCCCCGCCAGGAGAGAGGGAGCATGGAGAGGGCTGACCTTAGAAAGGCAGAGGGATTCCTTCTCTATCCTTCTCCCCTTTGCTCATGAGACAGGCTGATGGCTGGAGCAATCAGTCGGGACAGGAGATGTGTGCCAAAAGTAGATAATGGACCAAACATGTTAATATCTCAGTGTCTGTATTGCAAACCATAATGCCCAAAAGTAGAGAGAGGGTATGGGGAACATTTTCTTCCATGGAGGCTGGGAGAGGTGGGGAAGGGGGAGGGTATACTGGGGATATTGTGGAGAATGTGCACTGGTGGAGGGATAGGTGTTTGATCATTGTGTGATTGTGACCCAAACATGAAAGCTTGTAACTATCTCACAGTGATTCAATAAAATTAAAATTAAAAAGAGAGAAAAAAGAAAGGCAGAGGGGGCAGAGACAGAGAGGAGAGAGTCTGAGTGTGTCATGTCCATGTCCGTGGGCCTTTCTCCTTGAAATAAGGGCTGTGGTCGGGTTACCTGATACGAAAGTAAACATGGAACCTGCAAAAGCATGAAAAGCATGAAGGGGGCTTGAAGTGGATCTGTGGGTTTGGCACCTGAAAACTGCACCACGCTTGTTCATACTGTAAGATAAAAGCAGGAGGCGATCTGAGAACCCAGGAGCAGCATCTGCGTTGCTGCTGGGGCGGAAGTTCTGACTCCAGGCGGGTGCTCTTACCAGGGCTGCTCTGAAAGAGCTTATCATCTCTCCGTGTGTGTCCCCATTTTCTCACAGTTGAGTTGAATTGTTTCCAAAGGAAATGATAGCATGGTTCTTAAGAACCAACTGACTAGTGCTGTCTTGACTTGTCTGGTTATAGACCTAAACCCTTCCTTTTCTACTTGTAATTAAGTTTTTCTTACCAGTTATGTATAGTAATTTCAAACATGTTAATTGTCAGGGCAGTAATTGGGAGGTTTCTGTGTTTTCTGGTTCAAGTCAGTGCCAGTTTCACTGCTTTTAGCTAAGTGCTACACTCTTGGAAGAGGAAGTGTTCACTCTGTGAACCTGCTTTAACTGGGAAATAATCAGAACTGAGCAACAGGCTAGATTCAATGGAAGGCAGGCTCCTCTCTGTTCAGAATTAGTCCTGAGAAGTATCATTCTAACCTTCTTTCATTTTTGTCTCAACTTTGAATAGGGTATAATATTATTCATGATTTTTTTTCTTTGAAAGTGATAGAAATCCTTCTCTAAATAGTGTGTTTTTAGATATATATTTTAGGAGACGAATATGTTGACCCATGTACTGAGGAGACACAATGATAGACTGACTTCAAGCAAGGTTAGGTCATGGGGCTTCAGGCAGGGCTGTCATCTTCTTTGGCTCTTTCTTTGATTGCCCTCTGACTGCTTGCTTTGTTATCACTGGGAACCCCAAATCTTCATCCTCAGAGTTTAGAACAACGATGGATTCCAGCCCCCTGCTTCCCACTTTCATATACCAGGCTCCTGGTTTGTTCTGACAGGCTTTCGTCCCTCAGTCTCCATGGCCAGAGAAACAAGGGGCTTGCCAGCCTCAGACATGCGTCCTCCTAGGATGAGCAGCGTTGAGGTAGCTTAGCTAATATCCCACCAGAATCACAAGGAAGTGGAGGTGTCTAAAGGTAAAGCTGAAGGGAAGAGGGAAGGATTTGTTGTGGGGGAAGATTCCAGAAGCTAAACAAGTAAGAAATGAAGCTCTCCAATATGCTTTCAATCTTGGCTTTGTTTCTTATCTGAGAAATATTTGCATAAATTTGCATTTACATTAAAGAAAAGCTAAAACCCTACCAGTTTTTGTAAAAGTCTTTTAGATATAAGTTCAGTGATGCTCAGAAACTAGACCAATTTTTTGGTTTGTTTTGGGGGCTGGGGGAGAGGAGTTGCAAGGCAAGTGCCTTGCCGCTTGTACAATCTCTCCTACCCCAATTAAGTTGACTTTGAAAGAGCAAAGGTGAGGATAAATTAGCAAAGTCCACAAAATTTGACTTGAAATGCCATTGTCAAAACCCATAAAAACTAAGATGGCACTGTCACAGCTTCTGGATATTGGCTAAGGCTCAGAGTATACTATTTGTTGTTACTAATGTTAGTCCTTCCCTGACTCACATCTAGGAGAAAGCACAGTAGCCTCCTGAGGACTTAATTTGGTGGGGTAGGACAGAAAAGTGACCTTAGAAGGAGAACATGTAATTCTCTTCTTCATTTAGGCCACGTGTTGTTTGTCTGCACATTGTTTTGAGTGAGTGTCAGTGCTTCAAACGTTCAACAATGAATCTTTGGTTCAGTGATCATGTGGTTTCAGTAAGACCAGAATGCAAACCATGAGGAAAGTTTTGGGACTCCGTGTTGCACTGAAAGAAGTTTTGTGAAGTTAAATATGTTTTATTTTTAAAACATGATGCTGAGAGAGAGATCCATAAAGAATGAAGGGAGGTCAGGAGGGAGATACATAGACACATGTTGATGGCACACCTGGTCCCAATAAAGACTTTTCCTTCCTCCTCAGAGATGAGCAGCCCTAACTTCCCTGCCTTGCCTTCCCCCCACCCGTCACAGACTTGGGGGTTCCTGTACCCTTTTAAGACAGAAGTGTCTCAAAAGCCTGTTGAGGGGCTGGAGCAGTTGCACGGTGGGTAGGACGTTTGCCTTGCGGCCGACCCAGGTTCAATTCCCAGAATCCCATATGGTCCCATGAGCACCGCCAGGAGTGATTCCTGTGTGCAAAGCCAGGAGTAACCCCTGAGCATCACCAGGTGTTACCCAAAAAGAAAAAAAAAATCCTGTTGAATAAAATATTTCTTCCATCTTCTCTCTATCACACCTACAGATGGTATCTCAGTGACATTTCTGTGATAACTCAGACAATAAGTGCTTAATTAGATAGTTGTCTGATTAAATGATAGTTGCCCCTATTTTTAAACCACAGTGATGTGTGAAAGTAACCAGACTCCTCCCTGCCCTGACTTCTATCCAGTCTGCTCAGCTCATCAAAAATCCCCTAATCTGTAAATCTTCATATAAAGTGTGGTTGAAAATAGATCTAGTAAAGCTGATAGAGATAAGCTTTATTTAAAAAATAAAAGCACCTCCCCCAAAGCTTTTACTTACTAATTATCTCATATATCTGAGGAAAACATCTTCATCTCACTTAATATGACAATATTGGAATTGCAGTAGAGCTTCGAGAAGAAACTACAAATCATGTTCATTCCTTCTCTTCCATGACTTAAAACAAAAATATTTGCAGTTTCCAAGAGCAATTAAATACCCCAACAAAGCCACAGTTAATAAAAACATCAGACCTTGGTTTTCAAAATATTTACAAAACTCAATGAAAGGTCTTGTTATGGATGTCTGATAGTAATGGCCCCCATTTTCATTCTGTGTTCACTATGAGGTATTTTACTAGTACACATGTTGCAAAAACGAAGCTCTAAAGTCATCCTTCTGGATAGGCAATGAAATTTAAAGCTATTTTTGTGGTTTTCCTGACCACATTCCAAAATGGGCAATACTAACATTATAAATGAACAAAGCGAGGGGCCAGAGAGATGTACAACAGGCAGGGTACTTGCCTTTGTATGAAGGTTACCTGGGTTCAATCCCCACCACCTCATATGGTTCCTCCAAGTCCCACCAGGACTGATAAGAGTAAACCCTGAGTACAGAGCCAGTACTATACTTTGAGTACCAAAGGATATGCACTCCCAACCCCACCCTTCCCCTCAAATAAAGCACAAAAAGAAACTCCCAACAGGCTAAGAGTATTGCTGATTCATGTAGCTGGGGATGGGCCATGTTGGTTTTCCCCCAATAGTGTGATGTTTACTCCAGCTCTCTAGGACTCTGTCATTGGTGGGTTCAAAGCTCAGCTTCTGGGAGACTGGGTTTTACAGCTTTTCCTTTTTCCACGGACCATTGCTTCCCCAGAACAAATAAGACCCACCTTTTTTCTTTGCTCTAAACAATTGTATTGGGACAAAGGAGAAAGGGAGAGAGAATGCCTTTTGAGTTCAGCACCAGGCCTGCCAACCTCTGTCATTCCTCTCTCCTGGTCTGGGCCATTCTGAGCATGCTGCGGGCTCTTCCCATGCCAGACCAGGCTGCCACCTGGTGTGCCAATGAATAACAATGAAATTGTTGCAAGGGAAGACTCAGGAAAGTATAGAAGTAAGAAATGAAGCCCTGCAGTATGCTTTCAATCTTGGCTTTGTTTCTTATCTGAGAAAAGTTTGCATGAATTTGTATTTATATTAAAGAAAAGCTAAAACCCTACCATTTTTGTAGAAGCCCTTTCGATATAAGTCCAGTGATGCTCAGAAACGAGACCAATTTTTTTGGTTTGTTTTTGACCAGAGAGGGGGAGAGAAGGGGAGTTGGAGCTATGCGAGGGCTCAGAAATCACTCCAAGTGGTGCTGGAGGGCCCCATGCTGTGTTGTTGCACATGGAACTAGGGTTAACCACATGTATGGCAAGCTCCTTGCCCCTTGTCCAGTCTCCTACCCCCAACTTTGACAGAGGGAGGATGAGGAAGCATGTAACTGGAAATTTAAGTTTGAAATGTCTTGAGCAGGATTAATTGAGAATGGGATTCATTTGTACTTTACTAAACTTTTTCTAAAATCTAGTCATCACCCTGTCTGTTGCATCCCAGCCCCGAGTGCCCTTTGGCCCAGGACTGTGGGTCCTCGCTGGTGACGCCTTTTGTAATCTGTTCCTTCACTCAGCTTGCTTGGATCCAACCGCGGAGATGACGGAGCATGAAGGTGCTGACAAAGATGACCTGTTGCTGCTGAGTGAGATCTTCAGCGCCTCCTCGCTGGAAGAGGGCGAGTTCAGCAAGGAGTGGGCTGCCGTGTTTGGAGACAGTCGGCTGAAGGAGCCGGTGTGCACTGGGGCCCTGGGAGAGCCGGACCCCAAGGCCCCTGCAGGCTCAGGATTCCTTCCTTCACAGCTTTTAGACCAAAATATGAAAGACTTGCAGGCCTCACTACAAGGTATGGACTATAAGAGTGGAGATGGGTTTTGTTGGTGGTGTCTGTTAATTATTATTTTTTTATAGTCCCAAACTAGTTTTCTTTCCTTTTCTTATGGGGGGGTGGTTTGGGGGGCTAGGGGCTGGATTTTTTTTTATTGTTTTTGCGTGGGGGCAGGCTATTCACACCCAGTGGTACTCAGAATTTACTCAGGATTGAACCCAATTTGGCTGTGTATACAAGAGCCCTATCTGCGGTACTGTTACTCCAACGCATTACTTTTTCATTCTTATCTGTATTTCCATTTTTTTATAATTTTTATTTTTTATTGATTCACCATGAATGAGACCCTGTATTTTCTTTTATAGCCAGAAGTGGGTTTCCCACACCCCCCCCCCCCACTTAGTAGTTTCTGTTTTAATATCTCTTGAATGTTTTGAAAAAAGTCTCAGAATTTTCTTCTAACTTAAAGCTCTGTTGCGGAGTTTAAAATCTGCTTCTTCTTACAATCTCCTCCCTAGTTCTTATTAGTAAGGGATTAGAAGGGCATCTCTCAATCTGACTATCCTACTGCCAATACTTCTCATGGCACAGTTGTGAGGATGAGCACACCTGCCTCCCAGGACCCTCCCGCAAGCTAAGTTCTGCCTCCCACAGCACCAGGACACTGAGTTCTCCCCATTCCCATGAACCTCATCTTTCAGGACTTCTTAGCTCTCCTCACACTTTCTTCGGAGAGGGAGTAAGAGCTTTGATCTTCCCCTTGCTGCCTCTCCATGCTGGCCCATCCCAATGCCAGGTATCCCCTCAGCTCAGCTTTTCCTGTTCTGTCTGGAACACATGGCCCACAAGTCACACAGAACTAGTTTCCACTTTGATCAAAAGTGATCGAGCACATCGGGAAGGGTTCAAGGCGCGCCAAGGCTCGCCCGCAGCCCACATGTTGGTGGAGAACTGCTGGCATGAAGAACACTTTGATTTAGAATGAAAAAAACTGAAACTCCAGTTGAAGCCTTTATTTTTCAGTTTCTAGGCAGACCTTGGTTCAGCAGAAGGAACCCACATACCGGGTCTTTAGAATTTTTCCTTAGTTTGTGCTGCTTTAATTGTAAGACAGGCATCACCATTTAGAAATTCTCCTCTTTCATTTATTTATTTATTTATTTATTTTTCTTTGGCTTTTCTACGAATTGAGTCTATCTCCTTCATAAACACTGTGTTTATCTGGCACCTAACCTGAGAAGAAACGGCAGAGCTGGAATGATTAAGTAATTATGGGCTATTAAAGCCTCAGGTCTTTGCAGATGAGATCATGGACACAGCCAGGCTTGGTAAGCGAGAGAGAAAAAGTTCTTTCCACTTAAGAAAAAAAAATACCTGATTCCCTTTTATCACCCTCCGTGAGTCCTATTTTGTAGGCAGCTCATTTATTTTTATAACAGAGTTAAAGCTAGGAGGGATAAATTAAATCTAAAAAAAAAAAATGGTGCACAACGAGTTTCACCTTGGGTTTCACTGGAGCCCGCATGAGCAGTGATGCCAATGACTCGAGTTTCACCCCCACCCACCTGTAGTGGAGGTGTGAACAAGTCATGGGAGAGCTGAGGGCCAGAGTCAAGATGCACAAGCCAGATCTCAGGGCTCCTGGAGACTTTCCAGCTGTGTCACAGGATAAACCCACTCGGGCCCTGGGCATCAGAGACATGGGCTGCCAACTGGAAACCACAAGGGCAGTGCTGCCACTTGGCAGGGCTGGCTGAGTGTCATTTGCTTGTGAGAGCCCCATAGTGACCCCTGAGGCCAAAGCCCCACACCACCTCCTTGAACTGGCAGAGTGAGGTCTCAGCTCAGGCCCATGTTGGGGTTCGGGGTGGTAGGGTGAAGATAGGTCCAGGAGCTGAGATAAGAGCCTTTCCCAAAGGCACTTCACTCCAGCTAGGTTCACATCTCTAGGAAAAACCCCAAAGCACACTTGGGTCCAAGGACAAAGGTGTTAGGAGCAGCGTGAGGTGACTCTCACATGACAGAAAGAGGAGAAGGCACAAGAAAAGGAGGCTTTTATTTCTCCAGAAAACAGGTTCTCACTATAGGCTCCCGCCCTGCTTGAGCTCTGGCAAGCTTCTTAGTTCATTCAACAAATAGTTATTGGGCCCAGGGTCCACCGGAGAACAAAACCAAGAAAGCTTGGCCTCCCTGCACCTCACACTCTAATGGAGAATAGAAAGGTGACAAAAACACTACAAAGAAGCAAATCACAGTTAGTTTCAAAGTTCCCCGTGTTGCAGAGAAAAGGTGAGGTAGAAAGACCGCATGGTAGGTCAACCTGCCAAAATTGCGATCATATGGAGAAAATGTGATGGAAGCAACGGTTTGAAAGAAGTGAGAGAATCAGGACAGAGGGAAGAGGGACCTTTGTGCTGCTGCCACAAGGGAGGATGAAGCTGTGTCCATCATGGTTAGGGCTCTGCAGAAAGAGCTCTGAAGCTTGAGGTTCCTGAGTGAGAGGGTGATGCACTTCGAGAGGAAATGCAGAGGCTGAGGTTTCAGACCCACTGGAGAAACTTAAGCCTTCATTTAGACCAGATGAATTTGGGGAGGGTCATAGCCTCTTGGGCAATGTGGCCACAGTCTGATGTACCGGGTTCAAAGGCTATTTCCAGCCTCTACAAGTTTCCTTTCTTCTGCTGAGGTTATGTCAAGATCAATGTTAAAAGCAGTTATTTTGTAATCTCTGAGTTATCCTGTTTCCTTTGCATGCCCAATAGCTACACATTGAATATCTGTGGAACTCAAAATAACAGGAAAAAAAAGTCAAACCTAAGTGTTTGAAAGAGGAAGCAACTCATTCAACTTCTACCACACCTACAGGTTCCCAGCAGGCGCATCCACAAATCTACCCTAATTCAGGGAACCTTCACAAGGGATGTGTTACAAATAGAACAGGCTCTCTGCTTCCATAATTGAACATGTAATCCAGTGTAAACTCTGCTCCTCTCAGGATGTCTCCCCATAGCCCTACAAACCTAGGGTAAGGGAAAGATGAATGTTGGCCCATGGGCTTGCCGCCCCCACCCCCACCCCGCTCCACTGCATCCATGGTCCTGCCGGGGGGGCGGGGGGGTGGAAATCTATCCATATCTCTAAATCTTCCCAATCTTCTCAGTTTTTTCCCATAACTACCCAGATTATCTTAAACCCCAAATTAAATAAACAGCTGAAATCCTCAAACTGAGGTAAGAGGAGTATTGACACATTGGCCTAATGCAGCTAATGGGATTGTGGGGTACAGAGACCTGGTTAGTGTGCATACTATAAGGATTAGACTCACTGAATGCTGCAGTTCATCTACCTTTCTACAAGCAGATCTCATCTCATTCCTATAGTAGTTCTTTTTATCTGAGGAAATTGCCTTCCCAGGCACTCAGCATGGCACATTCTGTGTGCCAAGCATTGGCCTGTGTGCATCAGATGTAGTAGCTTAGTTCTCCCCACACACTCTCCAGGCAGGTACTATGATTATCTCTGCTGTATCATCTAGGAAACAGAGTATCAGAGTGGCTAAGAAATCTGTCCAAGATCACATAGCTGGTGATCGGAGTTTGACCCTGAGCCAACTGACTTGGGATGCTCTGCCTTGGACCTTAATCTTCCGCGGCCTCCCTGTGCAGCCACCAGCAGCTTCCTCTGTTCCCAGAAGTGCAGAACCTGCACTAATTAGCTGGCCCAGGATGCACACGGGGACAGGAGAGAGCCTGGCTGTCATGGGGGAGGAGGGTAAATGTGAGGAGATAGGATTTCTGGATGATGTTCCGGAAGAAAAATCTGCAATTGAGTTTGTCTACAAAATCACCTCAAGCTGCTGCTCAGGATCCAATAGCCCATGAAGGGCTGGTGGGGCTTTATCCTGAGGGTTGGAATGTCAAGAGGATAAGGGGGATGCTCCAGGCTCCAGCCACCAAGACCCCACGAATAGTGCTCTTCCTCCTTACCCACCTCTCACTCCCCCTCTTTCCTCCTCTATCTCTTCACTCTTGCTCTATCTTATCTCCCCAGATTCTCTGCTGCTCCTTCCCCCCCACCCCCTTTCTCTTCTTTGGCCTCCACCTCCTGTTCCTTAGGCACTCTAGGGGAAAGAAAAGGAAGGGAACTTTAGTATAAGAACAATTACGTCTTCCTTCCCCTCCTACATCAAGCCCTCAGAGAGCAAAACAAAGGATTTTACATGTAGGTTCAAGTAGTGCTGAAAATTTGAAGGAGTTAATTTTAGCTGGGATTTCTAAGACTTTCTGAAGTTACCAGCATGCTAAAGCTGGGCTTCCTGTGTCATACGATGATGAGAAAATTGTACCCTCCTGAGGCCGCTTGAAATGAGAGGGAGAGAGCCAGCCAGAGAGGCTGCCTGAGGTAGAGACCGTGCGAGGCTGGTAGGCCTCAAGTTGAAGATTCTTCTCAAGCATCTGCCCATATCCAAATTTTAATTTTGAAATAGATGCTGATACTGAGAAGATTTCCATCTGCTCACAGCAAGTGCAGGGAGACAGCTTTTAATTTAGGATCTAGCAAACCAGAGTTAGGAGTCTGGTGAGTTGGAGTCTGGTGAGTTAGAGTCTCCCAAAAATGCAGTGCTAAATTTCTTCCGGTTTTTTTTTTTTTTTTGTCTTGTGTACCATCTGGGTGGCTTTCCATGTTTGACAATGTCAGGTCAACCTTTGGGTCAAGTTCACAGCCCTACCTTTTGTCATTCCTGGCTCAGCCTGGTTCCATGTAACTAATTTTCCAGGACTTTAGTGGAGGCCATGAAGCAAGAGACTTGGGGGGTGGAGGGGCTGGTATATTAGAGCTGGTGTGAATGGAGAGCAAGCACCCTCCCTGTGAGCCGATGGACTCATTTGTTCAATTAAAGAAGCAGCTCTTGCTGCGGAAGGGGCGCTGTGAGTCTCCAGGCTCTCGGTAAATCCATAGAAAGGGCCTTTTTATATGTAGTAGAAACCTTTGCAGCCACTCTCATTGCATGGATGGGC